CAACTAAATTATCATCATACTGATGGCGTGATAGCTGTCGGTATCCAGTAACCCTACCTTCTTGAGACTAACTTACAAGCATAAATTGTAGGAAATAAAAGTCCGTAAATAACGGTTAAGTGACTATAATAATCGCAATCAGGTAGCTTTACTCCCATCCATTAGACTTTACCAAATGCTTGGAACCGTACTGAAAGAACAATAATCGAGGGAAAAGAAATTAATTGGTTTATACCAGCTCGAGAAAAGATATTGGATATTGGACGTGTTACAAGGATGCTGCATATTCAAAATGAACTCTACCAACATTTAGTTTCAGCTATCAGTTTGTCTTCATCACACACTTCGTATTCCTGATTTTTTTGGATTAGTTTATTTATTAGATGTAAGTGCACTCTATTTAATAACTAAGCGACTGTCTTACTTCTCTTATTTCGTTTTCGAAATAACCACACATACTACTCATCACCTTATCATTACACGAGGTACCTATAGGTAGACGCATACCTGCCATCCACTGAACACTATAGGTTAATTCATGCTAGAGCCGTCTGTGACCACGTTGCCTAAATCCACAGATCTATCTGGCATCCAAACTCGTGACAACTGTTTGTCAGAATTATACACTTTTAAAACTTTAACCGCTAGAGGCGTGAAAGTTCCAAATAAATACCTGAGTAGTTACAAATAAATTCCTAGTACGATTACTAAGACTTCATGGCTAACGATATTTACAGCAATAATTTATTGGTATTTCGCCCAAAATAATAAGCGTTCCTACTATACGTATGTAGACTTCCCGTGTATGATATTTGCAATCATTGTTGAAGGAAAGATTGACACTTCATTTTTCATCCTTTCTGAATTTTACCGACAGCTACTAATGTATGAGTAATCCAGTAGAATCACTGATATCGAATGCTCAGATAGTTTTGTTGACCTGAAGAGTTTAATGTGAACTCATTGAGTATTTAATATACTAATCCGTTAGATTTTGCGAAAATGGATATTTCACTTAAAGATATTGTTAATAGGAGGCATCTATATGTTAATTTATGATAAAACCTGGACAATTTGGTGTTAATTTAGCGAAAGGCAAAAGTGTTTATTTTGAGACATTTGCATTCATTGGGAAAATTTCGGAATAAAAGTCACACTATACAGTGCTGGGAGATGCAGTTTGATACAGTCTCCTGTATTTACACCATATGTACTGAGGGGTTTTCTCCAATGCTCGTCTATATTTCCCCTCTTTGATTTACTCGGGAAAATTGTTCAAAAGGTGGTCTTTTTCCAAAAGTCAGAGGTTTTATTGGGAGTTTTCATAGTATACTGTTACGAAACTGATTTAAACGAATGAAATAAGTCTACTTAATCGCTTTTTGGTGGAGCAACTTTCCATAGTTTAGGTAATTCCACTTACTGTTTCCGTGAATTCGTAGTTCAAGATGTTATGGTCAATTTTTTAAAACATTCGAAAATGTGTCAAGTAAAACCATAGGGCCTAATCGAATTAAGTGAAATTCACGTCTCATGATCGTTGAAACATCGAGCTAAATACCAACTCAAACCTTCAATTTTGTCATTGGAATTACCTGTCTGTCTAGAACTAAATATGTAGTTTGTTGTTAATCCGGACACCCAGTGGTCGGAAAGTTTTGCCTATTAAACCATATCATATTCTTTTATTGTTTATCGTTACTTAAAGTGTGACACTATGTAAAATTGCTTAAATCATTTTATGTCCGTTGTTATTCACAGGATAATTAATACAAAAACATGACAAATTCAATGAATTTATTTATTGAAACACATACTGATTGTAATGCTGTAGGATCAGCAACATGGGATTGTGATGGATATCATGTAGTTTTTTCTATATATGGACCAGATGAAGCTAAAATTAATGATGAACTTACTCATCGTGCTTTTGTTGACGTTACAGTTACACCTCGTGCTGGTCAAAGAACTTCCAAAGAATTGGAACTTGAAGTTTATCTTAATCAATTAACAGAACGTCTAATTGATGTGAAGGAGTTCCCACGATCTAAGGTTAGTATTATAGGTGTGAAAATTTATGAGTAGTAAATATTTTGCCGAATTAAATTTACTGTTTAATTATATTAAACTTTTCTAATGAATTTACGACAATTCAAAGATAGGTATCATGACGCATATAATATATATATGATATAATTTTAATGATTAAACACGTTATTACTGGAACAAAAGGACACTTAAATATTTGTGCTCCACACAAATCAACAAACTTTCTTGTGAAATGAATTACTACACAGATGACGAAACCGAACTAAGGTCTTTTCTTATGAGGCTACTCCCCTAGCATTTGACCTACACGTTAAGTCCATAAACAGAGGAACAATACCAAGAAATGTAGTCTCATGCTAGCAGGTCACCAACAGTAAGTTCACACATCATTTCTTCGCCACATGGTTGTGGTGCCCGTCTGCTACACTGGTTTGGAATGAGGTTTTCCAAACTCTTCTATTTGGACTGTTCGTCCCCACTAACGTGATTTAAGCCCCTATCAGACATTTACTTTTCATCTCAATTTCGTAAACTACCCTTTAAAGGAAGTCAGGGACATGTGTTACGTATGCCTAACCACCGACTGCCTCGACAAGCTAGGTTTTGTGGTCTAGGAGTAGGTTGGAAGAAAGCTAGAGGCGACCGAACTGAAACATGGCACACATCTATGAAATCACGGACAAGTGGACTGAGTCATGTTACTAGATGCAGGCTACCTGGTTGGGGTCCGCGAGACGAAAATCACCGATGGTTAGAGACACTGAATGACATTGCTCAAAATCATTTGCAATGGCGTAGGTGCATCCACTCTCTTTGTGTTCTCACAAATTCTAACCTTTTGAATCCCCCTATTTCTCGCTTTCTAAATTTATCTCACTGAATTATACTTCTTGAATCATATCTTTGGACCCTAATGTTCTCCACTACTGATAATACTTCTACTATCGCTACCACTATTGGATTTGAAATGACAGCTGCATCTCTGTGCTGATGTGGTATGGCAACCTGAACTGATGTAGGTACGCACGAAGTTCTACGTCGCAACTGACTGATTGACTGAAAGGAAGTCAGTGAGTAGGACCTCCCTGTCGGTGGCTATACACGTGACCATGTGAGAGTATTTCGAGAGAGAGAACGCATCCTCCTCCGCTCTCGATTGTATCAACGGATTTCGGGGCCACTTACTGTTGTCCCTGAAAACTTAATTATCGTGTCTATCTGAATTGGTTATAATTGTAGTTGTCACCGCTAACCGTAGAAGAATAAATTAAAACATACATATATACACTTTTGCTTTGATGAACCTGTCAGTATCAAAAACAGTAGCTTTTAATCATAAGGATGATAATCGCGTCTGCGACTAGGCTTACACATTGTGTAACTGAAAATTGGCTCCATGAATATAAACTTGATTACTGAGTTATATCTGAAGACTAATGACCTCGTTAAAAAGATTAAATCCTTTCCCTTTGTATGTAAAACGAGAGAGAATAATTCAACATGTGTCTTATATCATCTACATTTCTAATACGAATTCGTTGCATGATTTTGAAATATTGGAAAAAATTTATAGCTCAAGTGGATGATTGTGATAGAGTTTCGTTCTCTGAGCTGGATGTTTTGGTTTTGAAGCTTTCATTGTTCCTCTGAACTACATCATTGGCACAAACTTCCGATAGAAGTGAAACATTCAAATTTCTCTAAGTACGACTCTTAGCTTGTTCTTTTAACCTAAATGGTTAGAGACCCTGAATGACATGGCTCAAAACCGTTTGCAGTGGCTCAGATGCATTCATTCTTTGTGTTCTCTCAAATCCTAACCTTTTGAGTTCCTCATCACCTTTATTTTTCTCTTTTAAGTTTATTTCACTAGATTCTACTTCTTGAATAATATCGTCTAAGTTATGTAACAACGTACGAAGCTCTATGTTGTGACTGACTGACTGACTATTAATTAAAACTACATAACTGCTAAATCCTTTCTACAACATGTATTATAGTACACTAACATTGGTAATTTTCTTCAGATAGTAAGATGCTGACGCTATTCGGTTTATATGAATATTTTATTCTGGACTTTTTAAATTAATTGTTCATTCCACTACAACCTACCTATTAGGATATTCAATATCCAATATCCTAATAGAATTATTGGTCAATTCCCTTTGGTTAATTCCTACTGATTAATTTTATGATCATCCTAGATATCAATGTCATGTACTCCATTGTTTTGTATTGGTTGTCCTTACTACCAATGTCACAGACTTCGATGCTGTTTCTTATTCGACCTAAATGTATAATTACGGACCCGGATCCTTAGTCCAGAATCCTGATTCCCTTCTGGACTCAGACCTCGTACTTTCTGAATGCTTGTAGAATACAGATTCTACTTCATATCAAGTCTTCTTTTTACTCAATATGGGGGTCGGGACACTCCGATTAGAGTAGCATGTCGTGTCGCCGGATCCTCGATCCCCGCTTTTGTTTTCCGACTTGAGTGAACTCGTGATAATAGTTCAAGCATATCAAAATGACATTTCAGTCTTTTCTTTGAAACCAGGTTGAGTTTTCTTACTGAAGATGTAAAAGTTTATTGATTAATTTTTTTGTTGTTGTTTTTAGTTTACTGGACGCTTGTTCATTGTCACTGGTGACACAAATCATCCTAGAACACTGGCTGCCGCAATAAATGCAATTTCATTAGCTCTTTTGCTATCCGGTTTACCATTACGAGCAACCATAGCAGCAGTTTGTCACACAATACAAAATGCTTGTAAGTCAATTGATTGCATACTTACTTACTTACATGCTTACACGTGTTACCCCCTAAATGGAGTATAGACCGCCGCCGACCAGCGAATTATGTTTTCTGATTAGCATTTTTGTTTTAGGCGAGTTAGATTTCTACGGGAATAGAGTCGCCAACTCCCCGTGCCCGATGGTTAGAGACCTTAAATGACATGGCTCAAAATCGTTCGCAATGGCGCCGGTGCATTTATTCTCTGTGTTCTCTCAAACCCTAATCTTCTGGATTCTTCAACACCTCTAGTTTTGACTTTCTAAACTTTTCTCACTGAATCATACTTCTTGAATAGTATCTTCTAACCCTAACCTCTCCGATTACTTCTAATTCCCTTACTACCTCTACTACTATTGGATTTGAATTGACAATTATATCTCTGTGCTGATGTGGTATGGCAACATGAACTGATGTACTTACGTACAATGTTCTACGTTGCATCTGACTGACTGACTGACGTGCCCGACATTGCCTCATTTATCCGGGCTTTGGACCGGTATTAGAAGTGCTTTAGGCAGAGTTGAGTCATCTATTATTTCATAGAATTACATTATTTTCATAACATTGTGGTGAGCGAGTCAGGATACCTGATTGACTATGCTCACCACTAATTGTTCATTACGGTCATGGTTGAGTTGTTTATTGAAGGAGAACGTTGGCATTACATGGGGGGGCAGCAAATAGGTAAAGATGGCAGCAACGCGAAGAGAACGTTGCGCGCAAGAAGTAGTAGATGTGTTTTTGGTACAATAATAAAAAAACGAGTACAATAATGTTTATTTTTCACAAATCGTATTTTCTTCGTAGAAGCGTTCCACTACAGCAGCCCCCGCCTAGAAAGAGTTTACACTTTCGATACATATCGGCTGCGTTCGGGGAGGGGGCTGGTCGGCCAATATTTGATTGTAGTATGGAAGGGTTGACGAACAGGAAGCCACGAATGAAGTTCGAGTTGTCACCGATAGTCTTCTACGTTGAACTGTACCAGTAGTAACGTGCCAGGTATGCTGCTCGAGTTGATGTGCCAAGTTTGTCTATCGGATTGGCATGCCACACCAGCGTGGCTTGTATCCAGAGTCCGAGGATTGCGTTCGTAGGCGTAGGACGGACCCAGAATGAGCGAAGGAGATAGAAATGACCAGTGTGAAACCATTCGTATACCAGATATATTCGTAACCAGAAAATCGACTGAGTGCATTGACAAGAGCGTGGGTGATCAGGCCAGCTTTCGCCAAGGTTGACTGAAATCGACGGTACCAACAGGACAATGGTCGGAGGTATTGGCTCGGGATAAAAAAAAATCAAAGAAAAGGAGAAAAAGTGTAGCATGCATGTAGTATGATGGTAAAATCCTATGCCGCACCTGTGGAGGATTACTAGTTATTCGAGAAAGCGTACAGGTAGTCGTACGTGGCGACCGGAACGCGAGACAGTAGCCTCGTGCGTACCTTGTGAGCCTGCATTCTCATCCGCAGTCAAGTGCGGCGTGGTCTGCTGATCTGGACGTGAGACCGGAGTCTCATCCGTAGATAGTGCAGATGAAGCGTGAGAAGGAGGTCTTTGATTTCGCTAGTGTGGGATCAGAAGGAAAAATAAGGATCCCGCTAGTGAGTTGGAGGAGTCCAGCATTAAATCTCGATTTACCAGGTAGGGCACTGTCATTGACGTGTGCTGGTATGAGACGATCAATGCTGACTGTGTCCATCAACCTTGAAGGTCTTTTCGTGACGAGAGATCACGTGAAAAGATCCTTCGTAAGGTTGTTGAGTACCGAATCTACTAGTAAGAAAACTTGCGGGCAGCGTCAGCGACCTGTCGATGTAATATTCGAGTTCACACCGGAGGCAGTATTCGCATCTACGCAGATAGTCATTGGACGTAATCTGATATACATAAGATCGCTGCTCCGTGGTGTGAAAAAATTCCTCAGGCAGATGCAATGTCGTGCCGTATACGAGTTCGGAGGCGGGACATTGGATATCTGCCGTTGCTGCTCCGTAATCGCCATGTCGTCTCCAACAAATGTCATCTTTCTGCGAACCGAGTAAAGAGAGGAATCTTAAGGACTGTGAGAAAGACGAAGTAATACATATAGCAAGTAACTGTCAAACTCACGTTTAGCGGAAGCTAATTTGTCCGGTGCCAGTCGACGAGGCTTTGTCGTGACTCGCGGTCCGCGGGTGACGATGTGGTGAACCACATGTCGGGTCACCGATGGAGTCTCCTCGAATGGTTTAGTTAATTGGGGGAACTTTTCGAGTAAAGCGTGGAATATGTCATCACGCGAATGAAATAAACCTGTTATTCGGTACGCATTTGTATGAGCTCGAAAGCCCATAAATTTGCTGTTCGACGAAGTATCGATTAGCTGCAGCCTACGTGAATCGACTAGCAATTCATAGTGCTGTAGGAAATCGATACCGGGTATAGCTGTGGGAACATCGGCAATGATGAACGTCCACAGATACTGTCGTCGGTTGCTCAGGTTGACCGTTAGCTGTCGTGTACCATAGGTAGGAATGACAGAGCCATTCGCAGCGCGTAATCGAATTATAGTAGGTTGTGACTTGCTGCTACCTAATGGTAAGACAGAAACTTGGGCACCGGTGTCAACAAGGTACCTAGCGTTCGTGCGGATATCGTGCACGTAAAATAAACGGCCAACCTGAGGTGAGTGGCCGGCGAGTAGGGCCGCTTTTACTCACCGGCTTGGGAGTTTCCCGCCTTGTATGAGCAGGGAGGTCGACAATGGCGGGCGGCGGACCTAAAAGTCCGGTGGAACCAGCACCAACCGGTACTCGCTTCCGAAGCCGCTCGTTGACGTGGCTTGGAAGATGCCCGCTGGGGGCGAGTACTTACAGCCTTACGTGATCGCGATCGCGCTCGCCGGACGTAGGGTTCAGGTACCTTGGAACGGTCTGAAAAACTGAGACGGCTGTGTATACAGCAACCCTGATCCTTGTGAGCTTTACCCTGATTGGCCTCGAGGCCCACGCCGGTATGTGACGTGGACGCAACAGTATAGTTGTCTCGATGGCCGGTTCGTGTAATCACTCTGTCTGCCACTAGTGCGACTTGGCTTAGCGGCATATCTTCGAGCAGGGCGGCGATCGTAGGTTGAACATGAGCTGGTAATGAATCGAGCCACAGCTCCTTGACTATATCTGAATTAGCCGCTGTCGGTCCTGCTAGTGATTGCAGGCGCGTTAGGTGGTGGCTAGGTTTAGCATCACCCATAGTGTGACGTGCTAAAAGAGTCCTCAAACGTTCCTCCTTCGATGGGAGGAAATGCTGGAGAATCGCCTCCTTGAGACGATTGTAGGCATCTGGGGCATTGGGGTTGAGGACGACCTCACGGACAGCCGCTATATGGTCCCCAGGTAAGGATTCCACGGCATAGGCAAACATGAGCCGCTGGTTCGTTATGCGACGGATCTCGGACTGAGTTTCCAGTGTCGCATAACGAACCAGCGGCTCATGTTTGCCTATGCCGTGGAATCCTTACCTGGGGACCATATAGCGGCTGTCCGTGAGGTCGTCCTCAACCCCAATGCCCCAGATGCCTACAATCGTCTCAAGGAGGCGATTCTCCAGCATTTCCTCCCATCGAAGGAGGAACGTTTGAGGACTCTTTTAGCACGTCACACTATGGGTGATGCTAAACCTAGCCACCACCTAACGCGCCTGCAATCACTAGCAGGACCGACAGCGGCTAATTCAGATATAGTCAAGGAGCTGTGGCTCGATTCATTACCAGCTCATGTTCAACCTACGATCGCCGCCCTGCTCGAAGATATGCCGCTAAGCCAAGTCGCACTAGTGGCAGACAGAGTGATTACACGAACCGGCCATCGAGACAACTATACTGTTGCGTCCACGTCACATACCGGCGTGGGCCTCGAGGCCAATCAGGGTAAAGCTCACAAGGATCAGGGTTGCTGTATACACAGCCGTCTCAGTTTTTCAGACCGTTCCAAGGTACCTGAACCCTACGTCCGGCGAGCGCGATCGCGATCACGTAAGGCTGTAAGTACTCGCCCCCAGCGGGCATCTTCCAAGCCACGTCAACGAGCGGCTTCGGAAGCGAGTACCGGTTGGTGCTGGTTCCACCGGACTTTTAGGTCCGCCGCCCGCCATTGTCGACCTCCCTGCTCATACAAGGCGGGAAACTCCCAAGCCGGTGAGTAAAAGCGGCCCTACTCGCCGGCCACTCACCTCAGGTTGGCCGTTTATTTTACGTGCACGATATCCGCACGAACGCTAGGTACCTTGTTGACACCGGTGCCCAAGTTTCTGTCTTACCATTAGGTAGCAGCAAGTCACAACCTACTATAATTCGATTACGCGCTGCGAATGGCTCTGTCATTCCTACCTATGGTACACGACAGCTAACGGTCAACCTGAGCAACCGACGACAGTATCTGTGGACGTTCATCATTGCCGATGTTCCCACAGCTATACCCGGTATCGATTTCCTACAGCACTATGAATTGCTAGTCGATTCACGTAGGCTGCAGCTAATCGATACTTCGTCGAACAGCAAATTTATGGGCTTTCGAGCTCATACAAATGCGTACCGAATAACAGGTTTATTTCATTCGCGTGATGACATATTCCACGCTTTACTCGAAAAGTTCCCCCAATTAACTAAACACGACCGTAGCTGCTACCTTGACGTGGTGGTCGGGCTTGCCTATCGTGATGACCCAACCGAGCTATACTGGCTGGAACATATGTTCCTGCAGGTCCTACCATGCCAGGCAGGTCGATTGGAGAACGATGAGACTAAAAGCAGCTACGCAAGGTCTGAGGGCGAAGTCGTACTGCTGACTGCAGAGGGGTGTGACAGCAGTAAGGTGTTTCCCTCGGACAATCAGCATCTGCAGCGATGCTACATTCTCACAAGGAAGGAAGGGTTAGAAAAGGTCGGCCCTAAAAATTTCACACCTCCCCTAACTCACGGATTTCCGTCTCCTTGGGT